AGTCTTGGAGCTCCATTGTGAAGGATGCAGCCTCATCAACGCCATCATAACACGTCCATTTTTGGGTGTGTGTGTGTGTCGGTCAAACCCGTTTTAGAGCCCTTATAATGCCCTGTCGAGGTCTTTTTTCGACCCGACAATGTCCCACGCACTATTTTTAGGAGCTATGGGTCATCCTGGAAGGAAATCGCTGAAACCTTATAACACAAAATCTTAGAACAATTTCATCGAAGAACATACATATTGGCTGCATAAAAGTAATACGAAGCAGTAAAGAAAACGGAAAAGTTTCGAATTGAAGCCGATTCTTTATTGATGCTTTATACTGCTACTTTCAGCGTGATTTCTCAGTTCTCGTTCAGACCGCTTCGTTATTTCACTTTCCACGTCCACTCTATTTACCTAAGCCGCACGATCAGATTATCATCGGCTTTTTTTCTCGATTTCTACGGCGTCAACAAACGCAAGCAGCGGAGCGATGTTGATCGCGATGGAAACTTTGGGTGTGAACTTTATACTCACATAAAGGACATGGTTCAGCGATTTGCATATTGACAACTCAACACTTTGGCATTACAACGCGTTCTCGGTAGAACGAGAACAGTTGAATTTACACATTGGTTTGTGCTGCGATGAGACAAGAATAAAACAAAAAAATGACAAAAAAAAATGAAAAGTCAAAAAATTTAGTTGTTAATGAAATTGATTCACCCATCTCGGTACTCCATTTCTCCTGAGGACTAGGTTCAAAAACCTATGTTAAAATAAATTAAAACGAAAGTCGTTCTCAAGCACCATTATGGAGACCCACAGAGTCGCCTACCCCTCCCTTTGCGCTTTAGCGTTGCAATGTTGTGAAGAAGGTGTCTCCTCACGTTATTCTCACAAAAACCTACCACACACACAACATTGAACGCAGACTTTCACATCCAAGCTATTTCCTTTCATGGCACAACCCTATATGAATACAGAAATCTTCGCCATTCATATGCATACATATTATATTGTAAGGAGGAAGGGCCGTATTCCTATTGTGCTATGCTCCTCTCTTGCGATCTCATTCTTGAAAGACCCCATCCAAACTTTTTTCTTCAAAAAACCCCATCCAATAACAATTTTCACCAATCGAATTTCAGACTCAGGGCTGTGTTCGCAGAATCCTGCCTCTACAGAGGAGTCCTCAGATCTGTTGACGAGGTACTACTTCGATGTTGCCACTGATCAATGCTATCCGTTCGGTGTCCAGAACTGCGGTGGCAATGAGAATCGTTTCAAGTCAAGAGCCGACTGCCAGAATTTCTGCCGACTAGACAACAAGTAGTGTTGTTACTGCATCACACTAGTACAAATCTATAGCACAGAAGATATAATGTATATATAATACTAATGAGATGTAGTTATACTATGGCGGATAGTAATATTGTGATATTTTGTCAGAAATCAAGCATGGAGACTGATTTGATCAGCTGTGCCGCGGTTAAATGGGGTGATATCTGTTCTACTTGTTCACTCACTGTTCATTCTTTCCTTACTTGTTTCACTTTTTTTCGCATTCAGATGTGCTAGTGAATTGATTTCCGTTGGTCTATCGCTCTTGTATTTCCTTTTCCGAAGGTTGTGCATAATCTTTCTTTTTTTTCGAAGTTTCCTGGGCCACGATCTACGGGTTATTCGCTTCTTATATAGCGCTATTTACGTCAATAAAGTTTTTTGGAGGTTTTTCCGATGTGGTGAGGAGGTCTACTTGAAAACCTAAAAAAGGCGTTTGAAATGAGCCGTCTGCGACAGAATGTTTAAAAAACTGCCTCAAATCTGGATCCCTAGACACGTCCAGCGAACACCAGGACGACCGCTGATGGCTCGCTGACGCGATGGTCAGACTTCTCCACGAAAGCTCTGAACGAAAGCGATGCTGCGCCTCGTGTCCCTCAAGCGAAGAGATTCACTGGACTAAGCTGGCTCGCGACAGGGACGAATGCAGAAGTTACTGGCGCCCGCTTGAGGTAATCAATGACAGGACGACAGGTGATACAGGTGCATACTGTAACACGCATAAGAATAGTAAAACCAAACATAAAAATCGAAATTATGTCAAGCTAGATATAATTAAAAAGTTTAAAACCTTGTCAGTGATACGTCTGGATGTCCTTTTGCAATTACAAAATCTTGGAGCAGCTGAAAACCGAACCAATTCAAAGCGAAAAATAACTCTGGGTTATTTTCTGTTTTCTTCGGATGAAGTAGATTCAGACTTCCTTCTCTCTCAAGTTTTCATGCAAGCTCGGTAATACTTAGCACAGCTATCTTGAAACGTTACGGGTGAGGCTCAATCCCTCTGGAGGGACGCTCGACAAACACAGTGTGAGTGTTCAAAGACTTTCCTATCTATAGACACACAGATGCCGTATTGCACCGTGGCCTCCCATTCCGCGGAAACGTCCGTTCCGCGCGTCCGTAAAAACTAGGTTGTCCCTCCCACTTCGCGCGCGGCGCCCACTGCTCGTGTGCTCCGTGAAAATCATTGCAAGAGAGCTGAAGAGGTCACGTGGAGTGTTCGACATGTATTAGTATTAAAAAACGATCTGAGAGTTTGTATTCGAAGGGAAGCACGTTTTGCAAAATTCAAATCGGCTACGGGGATCAAACCCTCACAGCTGACCTAAAAAGGAAAAGCACTGCCCTTGCGCCACTGCGACCCTTATGATCATTGCACGCAACTGCACATATCAACTAAAACCATCTCTTTATGTTTTGAGCATGCAATCTTTGAGCGCTCACAACTTTTTTGGCAGACTCAATTACCAGTTTTGATTTCCAGACTTCTTAATAGCTTTCAAATCCCTATTCAATGTTTCATGGAAGTTGAGAGAAGAACAGAAGGCAGTCAGGTCTGAGATTTATTTTTTTCTTCGACGTAGTTGCTATTCACTCATCAATATCAAGAAGCACCTTCTGCTCCTCAAACTATCCGCTCTCGATTACCTTTCCTGCTCTCTCTGAATCAGTGAATTTCACAACTTCAACCAGAATGATATACGCTGCTGAAAGTTCGAATTGCCCGTCGGCCCATCGGACACCTCGGGTAAGCCGAAGTGGGCTTCAACCGCCACCAAACAGATTGGCAGGCTGACACGGCCGAGGGTCAAGCCTAACCAATGTGATCTCACGGTGTAGCGTAGCGGATAAGAGTCCGAAGTCATTTCTGAAAAGTGAGGGTTTCGATTTGCGGCGTCACACCACAAAATTTTTGCTTGAGTTTACGTAGGAGAGCGGATTCAAGCTGGGTCATACCTACAGAATAGGTTAACAAACTTTGCATGAAGTGTAGATCTGGAATACATCGGATTCCCTACACCAACCATTTAACTTGAGCATCTCGGGACCCCCCGTTTACTATCTCCTTAGCAAATCCCACCATGTATGTACAATGTTCATGTCAAAGGATCCCTTAAGGCTTCGGAAAGTTGATGATTAGAGCCTCCAACCCCACCTAGTCTAACGATAAGTAGGCCATTTTTCATCCACAGTACGCGGTATTTGAAAGGTCTACTCTCTTAAAGGCACCATTCACAAAAAAGTTAGGGTACCCTTTTTTAACGGGAAATCGATAGAACTACTCTAGAATAAAGCGATAACAACGAAAAAAGCGCAAAACACGATGAACAAAAAGAATTACAAAGGGCCAAAAAAGAGCTGGAAAGGGGGTTGGACGAGTTTCACCATTGAAAGAACGTCGGTTAGAGAGTGTTCG